TTTGATTTTAAAAGATAATTGTTTATTTTTTTTATGGGTACACATGAATTCATTCTAGACTTTATAATATTTTTGTCCTTTAATTTGTTGTTATAAAATATATATATATATAGTATAGTATCATGATGATCTAAAGCTAGAATCATAAGGATCAGCTTTAATTCCATATATATTATATATATATTAACAATACATACATGCCATTGATCAAATATATACTATATCAAGATTAAACTTGAGTATAATATGGTTATATTGAATCATTTGGTTTATTTGAATTGATATCATATAAATATTATTGTAGCATTGTAGCAGAGCGAATTGTATAGCTTTGAGTTCCATATACATCTTTTCAATTAGATCGACTATCAGAATTGTATTGACTGAATGACCTTTGGTGATACTCAAGATTAATCGTCCCCGCTTAAATTAGTTTAGATATATATGTATTTATAATCATGACAAGGTTGTGTGAATTTGAAATCATTAAATAAGCCATTAGCCGCCAAGTACACAAAAAGACAAAAATATATAAATTAGAGAACATCTGGCATTTAATTTCCAATTCTACAACAAAACCGATCACATATTTAATGATTCAATCCGGGGTCTTATAATTACCTCTCATGGTGCTAGGTTCGTTTCTGAGCATTTATCCAGAATTCTCTGATTAATTTCATTAATCGATCACTATTACATTATATGTTAATTAGGTTAATTAATAAGTAATAATTCAATTAGTTTATAATGAATGTTTTGAATAATTATACTTAATATAATTAATATTATACAGTATAGTCATAGACCATATATTGATCAAATATATATAACTATGCATGTCGATTGATAAAATTGAGCTTATATATGGTTATATTATTGATTCTTATATAGTTTTAATACTAATTGGTTTATTGTATATTTTTTCAACATTAATCATTGATGATCTGTAGCCATGACATACTGGCCTTGAATAATATTAATATAATATTATATAGCTCTCAGTTTTATTATACATGAATATCCGGCATTGGTTATATAATTCATATTAGATCATGGATCATTTTAAATTATATATTGATCAGTAATCAGGTAGATAAACCTACAATTATCATACATTCTAGATCATATTAAGCATATTATACTAACATAAAACGTACACATTATTCAATTATATAAACTAATTTCAAACAATTAACATTTTTTTTTCCTTTTAATTCTTTATATGAAAAAACTTGTTTATAAAAAAACCAAATTAAAATAATCAAGAAACCTCACTATAGACAAGAAATTGAATAAAAACAACTTCAATCATTTCATTATTTTCTTTTTTTAATTTTATTCTGAATTAAAAAATAACTAAACTCCAAATATTATAAAAAAAAACCATTCACTAAAATCAAACTTCTAATAATAAACACCATCATAATTGTATCAAACGTTAACTCATTTAACAATACAAAGAATTGAATAATTTTTACATCTCATCTCTAATGTATAAATATATGAAAACCCATAAATTTTAAACTTATTGTTTCTGTATACTGTTATCTATCACTTTGTTAACATCAGCATAATCAATTACAACACCTTTATCAGAACATTTTGCTTTAACTCTTAATTCTGAACATAATCCATCAATATCAATTTCACTATATTTTGGATGTGATGTAATTCTATCCCAAATTTCAGTACATTTTAATAATTTACCATCTCTTGATGGAACAACTTCATTTTCATCTATATCTTCAAGTCCTACATCTTGTGATGTGACTTGTTTAGAAGATTGCCTAGGTAAAGTAGTTGACATAGGTGTTGTGTTGGTTGTTGTTGGTGTTTTATTATTAGTATTAGAAGCAATTGATAAACGTCTTTCAACAACTGGTGATTTTGCTTGATTGAAAATTCCAAATGGATCATAAATTGATTCTTCAGTTGTTAAGGAATTCATAACATTTGAATCATCTTGGAATAAATCATCAAAATTATTATCATCTGCAAATGCCATTGATGGATCAAAACTTGGACCATTATTGAATGTGAATGCACTTGAATCATAATTTGAATCATTTAAAAATGATAATGGATCTTCATTAATGTTTAAATTATTATTATTAGTTGGTTCATAATCATTATTTGTAGTTTGAGGGGTATTTGTATTTGATAATGGAGTGGAAACTTTTGATGATTGATTTGATTTGCTACTTCTAGTTGGTACTGGACATTCTTTTGTACCACATGCACTATTTAAATCTTTACAGAAATCACTTATACCTTCATCAAATTGTTCATTGAATTGAAATTCTTGAATTCCTTCATTTGAGGTTCTTTGATCTTGCTTCTTGGCTTCTTGTGTAGCTTTAACTTTATTAAATAGTGGTAAGTCACGTTGATCGTCATTATTAAATAATTCAAATGGTGATGATTCAGCCGATGAAGTTGTTGAACAATCTGAAGCTAAAGCAGGTGCTTGTGCATTTGATGGAGTTAATCCATGTAAATTAATACTTTGGGTTGATTTAGCACTTGTTGTTGAATTTTTACGACTCCATGGGAATTCAAATGAAAATGGTTGTTGTGGAGGTTTATTATTAAAATCATCAAAATTTGAAGAGTTTGTTCTTGTTGAACCTGAATCACTGAATGTTGAAGAAGGTGCATTTGATTCATTTGATGAGGATAATTGTTGTTGAGCATAACCATTACCAGCTGGTGATGGAACTTTTGGTAAATTTAAATCACTAATATCATGAGTACCTCTATGTTTTGCTAATTCATTCATCAACATTTGAACTTGTAATCTCAAAAATTCGGATTCTGTATTTGCAGACTTCTTTTCATCTTCTAAAGCGTCAATTTTTTCTTCTAAATCTTTCAATTTACGTTCTTTACGTTCTCTAAAAGCTCTTTGTGCAGCTCTATTTTGAGCTGTTCTTTTGTTTTTTGGTTCACTTGCTAAAGGTTTACGACCTGGTTTATTGATTTTTTTATTGTTATCTTCTTGCCTTTTAGCATCAGCTTCTAAACTTTCATCTCTGAATTCTTCAGAAAGTTCTCTTTTGGATAAGACGTCAGACATTATGAGTATAATTTAATTTGAGGGTGTAGATCTGGAGTGCGTATTTGGGATATTGATAAAGCTAATAAACCCTGTTTCTTCTAATGTTAATGAGCTCGATATAACGGTTTGAAGCTGGTAATATAAGTCCTTAGTCGTTTGGCTCTTTTTGTCTTGGTTTTTTGGATTTGGTTTGATTTCAGCTTCTCAACTTCAAATGAAAGATGAAATTCAGTTATTCAACTCTAAGAACCCGGTAAAAATCTCTGGTTTTTGCGTATAAGTAAGCCTGACCCTCTGAGTGTTATATGACTTGTTTAAATCTGTCTAAAACCTTGTATTTAGCACTAGTTTGACCCGATATATCACTGTTCGCCACCGAGTTCAGTGATGAAGAAGAGCTCAACTTTCGATTTTGTTAAATTTCTATAAAGATGACAAATTAAAATATGGCAGAATTCACGGGTGCATAAAATATTCGGAGAAGCGGGTTGCCCGGATTTGAGGTTCTATAGATTCTTCTAGAATTACGTTTATTACTTTAACTTAATTTAATTTATATATTAATTTATATTTATATTACACTATATACATCTTATATCAATTTAGCCAATGAATTATAAGTGGCTTCATCGATAATACCAGTATTGAACAAGTACAAGTGCAACTTGTCAATCAATTGTATAATATCCTTTGGTTCCATATTAGTAACAATCATTTGTAAGATTGAACCAACATTTATTCTATTTGTACTTAGGAATGTTTCATAATATAAATAAGCAAATGATCCCATCAAGAATTGACAATCAATTCTATCAGTAATACCACCATGACCTGGAATTGTATGACCGAAATCTTTTGCATTAAAAGTTCTCTTCAATCCACTTGCAAAGAATCCACCAAATGGAGCAATTAATGATGCAAAAGATGCTAAATTCAATGAATGGAAATAAATTGGTCTTATAGTTAATGTTGTGAATCCAATATTTTCAGAAATAATTGGTGGAATTCTAAAATCTTGTGCAACAAAAATTGGATTACGTTCACAAGAAACATGTGAAAAAATATTTTCTCTTAAATCTGTAACTGGACAAATTAAATAATCATAATTTGTTAATAATTTTGCTAAAAGAATACCAACAATTGATGTGAAGATCCATGCACCAACAAAACCTTCAACTGTTTTCTTTGGAGAAATGGCAATTAATTGAGTTTTACCAAATGTAATACCACAAAGATATGCAAAGATATCATTTGTAATGACCAGTAAAACTGGTAATAAGAACCAAATCATACCATTGAAAATATTATTAATTATTAAATGAGCTTGGAAAACAACTAATAAAAGAACCATGTGGGTGATACATAATTGAGAAAATTGAAATTTATAATGACCTTTTTGTAATGTAATAACAAAGAAAACAAATCCAAAGATATAAAAGAAATAACTTAAAAATTTATGATGAGTTGCTAAAGGTGTAAGGATCTTATTTGTGAAAATTAAATGATTAAATGAATGAATAAATGATTCACCATCAAGATAATAAATAGTTGTAAATAAGAAATACCAATTTAATGATTTTGTTAATGGTAAGTTTTTTTCTTGTGAAGATTTTGAAGCAACTGCAATACATTCTTTGAATACCAAAATTTGGAAAACAAAAATTAATAACACCATCCATAAATGACCAAGTGAAAGCACAGTGATGAAACCTAAAAACATGACAATTGTCCAAATTGCACGAACTATAAAATTTTGCTTCTTTTTCTCACGATCACTTGGATTGGGTTGCTTTGATTCAACGTTCTTACTAACATCTTCTTTCACTATTGATTTTTCATCAATTGTTTGATCTTGTTTTGATACTTGTTTTTTAGTCATATTGGAATATTGATGATATTTGCCCCTAAATTAAATTATGGATCAAAAAAAATCAATTTGATCCTGTTGTTTCCTGTGGTGATACCTTAGCTTCTAGCTTTTGAATGTGATAACACGTGTTTAATGAATAGCACCGATTAACAAAATTTGACAAATATCCTTTAAATCAATTGTGATTATCAAGGGTTTTCAATTATGGATTCGGTTATGGAAATTGCTTTCTAAATTTTTGTTTTCTAGGAACCAAAAAAAAAAATACATAAAAAAA